TGATATATTTGTGTAGATATTTTCCCCTAAATTACTGAAAAATAATGTTTTTAGAAATACTTTTCCATCTGATTTCTTACTACATTATGTTCTTTGTTGCTGCCAATTTTCTGCTTAGTCTGTTTCTAGTTAGTATGATCTTATGTTTCATGTTAGTAGTGCTTTGAACCAGTAATTGTCTATGAAGAGAGTCTGGAAGGTTAATAATGTCACCACAGCTGAACTTTATATACACCTCTTTTCCTTAGAAAATATACAACCTACTTTTCTGGCACATCCATGTTACTCACTGGCTTACTTTCAGGAAGCCAAGAACAAAAATGCATGCTTGAGCATAGTAATGCTAATGAATACTACATCAGATGATACAGGGGACAGCATTAAGTGTTTCGCATCTAAATTTAAGTACCTAAAATCTTCAGTGTTTCCTTTCTTTATATAGAAAAACATTGGCTTGAGTTCCGTAGGTATTAAGACAAAGTAAATATTTTACCTGTAACCAAAAGTCAAAGTGCCCCTTTGTTAAGTCTTATGATTTACCACTTGTTTTTTGTTTGGGTTTTTTTGTTTGTTTGTTTTTAAAATCCCAAAAATTGCAGCAGCTTTGGAAACAAAGGTATGGTTGGCAAGTGACTTTGGCATTTGCCTGTTCTTTGGAGTGTATCCAGGCCACATATAGATCCCATCACACAGACAAAGGCAATTAATGTTTTTCATTAAGAACAATATTTAGCAATTATTCTTCACTAGTTTGTTCAGACAGATAGTTTTCTTTGTGTTTAATTGGATGGCACAATGGAAGAAGCCAAGAAACAACTGGATGATTAGTTAACTTAAACTCTGTTTGGGGCAGCTGAAGCTAGGTGCCCTTTCAATTTTGTTAACTCAAATCCATTTGGTTGGATAGCTTCAGCAAAATTCAAATGTACCATGTTAGTTTGAAATTGTTCAAGAAGTGGTAAAACTAATCTTTCATTTTCTGGCACTTGATAAAGAACAAAATAACTTGATTCGCAAAACACTGAGTGAAGGAATGTTTTTTTTCTTCTTATCTACCAACTTAGCATTCCAGTGATGTGTGGGAGACTTGGGCCTGGGTTTTTTTGGTTTTGGGTTTTTGGTTGATTTTTTTTTTTTTCTTTTTCTTCTGTCAGCTTGCTTACCATTTAAAGAGTCCCCTTGTCACTGTGTTCTGGGATAAAACAGGGTGAGCTAAAGTGTGTCACTGTAGCCTGTTGCCACTTCTTCACTTGTATATTAAGTTGTCACTGCACAGCTTAGGCCTTCATTTCTAGGGTAAATCTCCCGGTTATCTTCATATGCACCTGTATGTACTCTCTTGTTCTTCCTTTGCCTCCATGCTTGCTTTCTCCATCTCACACACACAAAGCAGAACCACCACTCCCATCTCTTCTTCCCCTGTGTTCTGTGAATGAAGTCACTTGTCTTCTTGCAAATGATGAAATAACTTAAGCTTTAAAAACATTAAATTCAGTCTGGAGGAAATATTTTAATTTTTCATTTTGATAAGTACATTCAAAAATGTTTCCTTTGGATTATTTGACTAAAAGCTTTTTTGGTTACTTGGTTTGGGAGGAAGTCAACTGCCCAAACTGGTAGCTTTTAACAAGGTTCATCTCTGCTTGCAGATTTCTGTCATGTTTAAATTACAGATACTGTTGTAGATTTCAGAACATGTGAAATATCAGTAATAAAGCTGAGGAACTTTGAAGTTCAAACATAGTGCAATGTTCTATCTGGTAAAGGAAATCCACGTTAATTACAATAGTAGTATGGCCCTTTGTGAGCAAGCTGTTGGAAGTGGTTCAGAGGGACGCTGAAGTACAAGATCAGTAATGATCACCACTTGTTAATTGGAGAAAAAGAACCTGACTTGTGGACTTGAAGGAGAAACTCTATTTAAATGGAAGGAACACAGTATACTGACTTGTGTATAGGAACAGCAGTTCTGCAGCCATAAACCTACTCAAAAATGGAACAGTGATTCCTTCTTGTGGCTGCTTACAGAGGTACAGAAACCAGATTTACTAAATGAAGTTTTGTCATTCTCATGATACATGCATGTGTTCAAGTAACAGGTTTTGAGTTATCTCCACAGCACATGAAGTCCATGAACATTCGTGTTTCACATGAATATGACTTAGACAGAAGCAAATCATCTTCATCTGATATTCTGTGAACATAAACTTTTTACTCAAAATGATAAACTACCAACAGACCAAAAAGAGCAAGTTTTTACAATGTTTCCAGGCCCTTATTTAGTTTCTCTGTAGAAAAAAACAATAAAAATAGGACAAATTGATCAAGTACAAAGAACTCTTTCTAAGCTGTGAGTGTCTCCAAAAAATAAGGTTCACGTTCATTTTTCTTCTTTAATATCAGGATTCATTTCTGGGACATTAAGACTTGTATAAATTCTAGAGAGAAGGAAGCAGATGCCAAGAAATGGTAAAAGCAGAAATCACGACTAGAATTTAAAGCAAGTCAAGGTGCAATGTAGTTGAAGGTTGTGGTCATAAAGTGGGGGTACAGAATGTCTTTTCTCTGAAAGGAGTTGAAGCCCTGGGAACTGGTACAAGCTCTGTGGTTTGCTCACTTTGAGCCTTCAGAGTACAGTTCTGTGCTGGGAAGCTATGAGAACAGTAGAGAGTACTTGGGTAAGAGCTGTGATCCATCTGGGAATGGAGAAGGGCCTCAGGAGAGGGAAAAGAGAAAACACATCCTTTGGAGGAGAGAAGCCAGCATGGTCAACCAATGTGAGAAAGAACAGAGCCAGGAGTACATTTAGCCATCATCAGAAAGGATTCCTATGATTTGGAGAGATCTGGCGTAACTTATTAGTACCTGCCTTGGGAGAGTGCAATGCTGACTGTGGCCATGAAGTTAATGAGAAGTAAGGCCTTTGCACAGCGTGTCTCCTTTTCTCTTCTGTAACACAAAATATACCAGAAAGTGCTATGAGAATGAAATGTGGAAGGATATAGGCACCTTAGCCCAATTTGTGAATCTTGATCCAGCTTTTGTGGTGCTGCATCAGAAAGAACCACCTGTGTGCAGTTGAAGTTACAAGCAACTATTTAGCTAGATAAAGCTACGGTGCTTCCTCAACTAACAAACTGTCTGCAGTATGCATGGAAAGAAATTAAGGCAACACTGAAGAAGAGAAAAAGAAGATATATTAGTGTAGAGGAAAGGATAGGATGGAGTCACAGGTTATAATCTGTATCATATCCAATTTTCAGGTGTGTGCAGCATCATTTGAATCATTTAAAGTCACATGAAGTTCTAAGGAAGCCAACTTCTACCTTTCATAGTTTGAATTCTGTTTCTCTAAGGCTGGAAAGTACAAGTATATAAAAATTGGAAAACAGACACCCTCTTTCATATGCTCCCAGAAAAAATAGGCAAGAGACATAAAGATTTTGCAGGAGGCATGGCGCAGCAAAAAAGCAGACTTGGAAGCCCAGATACAGCAGCAAAAATGCAAATTTGCCTTACTAATTATGCATGATCCTTCTATGCAGAAGGCAGTTTTTCAGAATTTCACAGCTATTATGTTTGGAATGGCAAATTTAAGAAGAAGAGCAAGTACAATTTTTTGCTGAAAGTTTAGAAAACCTACCAAATAGGAAAGAGAACAGACTATTCCTTCCTTCCCCAACAGAAAAAAAACCACCAAGTTATTCTTATAAATGGGTATTTTTTTGTTACGTTTGTGTCAGCCATTATAGACATGTCTACTGTATTTAGTAATTAAGCTAAGAGGGGGGAGAAAGTAAAACAAATCTGAAGCATGATGTTTCCATTGGTTCTAATCTACTGCTTTTATATAAATGGACTCTGCAGTGTTACATCTCCAGGATGACAATAAGCGCAGCCTTAGGCCTGCCTCCTGGTTTGTGCCATAGTTATTGTGCAAGTTGAACTATGGATTGTACATATGAGAGCGAGACGATTTGAAAAGAAATAATTTAAGAGAAGTACTCAATGGGCAACAGACTGTATATGCAAAAGGGATGTCATTCTTTGCTGAAAAAAGGGTTCCTTGCGTGAAACAAGCATCTTGCTGTTTTTCATAGAGTAACACAAGTTCATAAAATGTACTCAAATTTACATAATTCCTCTCCATTGTGAATGCAGCCATTAATCCTATCCTGCTGACTTACTTTTCTGGAAGGTGGCTCAGCTGAAGCAAATATTAGACCAACAAGCAAATAATTTCAAGGAGTCACTGAAGAAACATAATCTACAGTCCAACAAAGAAAAAGAGAAGCTTTTGCAGGATCTTCAAAACACTGTTAAAGAAAGCCAGAACGTTAAACTGCAGCTGGAGGCATCTCATCAAAAAGTCTTAAAAATGTTGGAGAAGAGTAAAAATCAGGAACTCAAGGTCAGTTTGCAACATATTACTGTAAAAAAAAAAATTGCATTTGTGGGATAAACTATATTAGCTAGAGTCGATTATTAAAACCCAGTTATCTCCAGATATCTTAATCATGATGGATTTATTTCAGTGACAAAACGTTAATGCAATATATTGAGGTTCTAAAAAATGTTGCTGTTTGAGAAAAAAGATCAACTTAAAAAATCTACATGTGATTGTGACATGGAGTTCAGATGCCCCTATTGATATCGCACACCTTAGGGAAAACCTTCTAATAAAGCATATGTAGTAAAGCCATCCTAAGTAGAATTTAATATCTTGTTTATATATTCAGAATAAAATCCCAGCTTTCACAAAGCCAAGCTGAAGGCAGTAAGCTGGTAAAAGTGAAACTGAGGACAGGAGTTTGCATTCAGAGCCACTGCAGAGCAACTGCTTCATCATTTACAGCCTATCAGCAGCACTTCTAGCGGCAGTGAAAATTTTAGCCAAGAACAATACAAGGAAAGATAGAAGCCTCTGTCTGACACACTGTGATAAGTAATGATGTACAGGTCAAATCTGGGGGACTTTGTATGTTGAATAATAAAACACCTTTCCAATGTCAAATAGTGCAAAGATGTCAGTGTATTATTTCATGATGTACAACAAATCTGATAGCCGGTATCTTGAAAATTTCTCTTGTCTTATTAATTTTTATTTTTTAACTTCAGCTCATTTTTGTTCTTGTGTTGATGAGGTGTCATGTAAAGTGGTGATGAAAATAAAAATTCTACAGTGAAAGACCAGGTTCATCCTGGCATTACAAGTAAAACAACAAGTGATAAATAGGCTCCAACTACTTTGTTTTTTGGGGGGGGGCGCTTTTGCTTACAGGAGGCAGAAGAACGTTTGAAAAAAGAATTTAATGAGACTTTGAAGATCCAACATCAGTCTTATAGGCTGGAAATACAAACCTTGGAAGAGAAAGCAAAGAAAGAATTACATGATGAAGTCGAGCAGATACAGAAGCAGCAAACCCTGTTGTTAGGTATAATGTCTCATGTCATGCACAGCTCCTACTGCTTGATTGTACGCTGAAAAGCACTGACTTTCCTCCCATTCATTTTCTTTCCCATCTTCTGGGAACTCAGGTCTTTGTCAATCTCCTTTTCCATACCCTGCAATTTCAGCAATACGCACCTACTGTTCTTTGTTAACCTAGCTCTCAGCTGTCAGCAGCAGAATGTTGCTAGGAGAGTGGTATGGTGTGTGACATTTAAGTATACATAATCAGGTATATTAAATTGGAATATTTTAGTCAGTGTATATGACTTTCCTCTTTTTTTCTATGATGTGAGGAATTGTTATATGTGGTTCAAGTCTGTTCTATTGAGTTCAGCAGTGGTGATCAGTTGCTCCATACATATTGTTCAGTTAGTATAGAAAGATCCCTAAGCTGTTCAGAACTAAACAGAACACTGCATTAGGAGGACCTATACTATATCCGTGTTTGAACTCAGGTTATTAAAATTTATCTATAAAAGGCTTTATAATTGAAGAAAGAATAATTTGAAAGTACTTTAAGTATAAACTGAATGTTCTTGTGGGTTTTTTTTTTCAGTAATTCAAATTTGCTAGAAAGATTTGTTGCTCTCTAAAGTTTCTATGTTCAATAGGTAAATTCTGTTCTTCAAGAAAAATTGTAGGGAGACAATAGAGAGAGAAAAACTTCTTTCTGCTTGTACTTGATCCATCCCAAAACTTGTACCCAATCTATAAAAAAAGTTGCGTATATGACAGATCTGCTTACATAAGTGTTGTACTTCTCTAACAAAACTAGAGTTCTCCTCAGTCTGCCTTATGGCCTTCTGTAAAACACCAGTGGAGTAAACAGGGAAGCTCAGGGGTGCTCCAGTAAAGTTCAGGGTTAGAAGCAGCAATTATAGTGATTTAGTCTGCAGAACAACTGCCACAGAATTACTTCTCTGATTCCAATGATGAATCATTGCTGTTATAGCTCCATATCTTCTTACCATTGCTCAAATGAGTTACTTCTTTAGTAACAGGAGGCCTGTCTTTTACCAGAGTGTTTATTATGGCAGGGGGGTTGGAACTCGATGATCTTCAAGGTCCCTTCCAACCTAAACCATTCTATGATATGATTCTATCATACTTAATGGTAAAGGAGTTGAGGGACAAAGCAAAGATGTAATGTGTCAATGTTTTCATCTGCATTATCTATATCTACCTTCCCCATCCAGCTGGCCTCTGACTGCCTTAATGATTGTCTGATTGTTACTAGGATCTCTAAGGACGGAACTCTCCGAGCAACAGACATTGTGCACTAATCTCAAGAAACAAATAGAAGAACTCCAAATGGAGCTGAGGAGTGTGAGGACACTGAAAAAACAACAGGCAAGAATCCAGTTCCTACTTCGTTGCCATGTTGTGTTTTGCAAAAGAAATAGTATCAAATTTCTCTCTTCAGAGATAATAAAAGTTACAGTCTCTTACAGAAATGGGTTTCCTTCCCTTATGTCCCACTTTAAAATATTAGTGTCGTTTATCATCTCTACAACGCAAGTGAATGAATGTTACAATAAAATTAATTTTAAGGAGGCTATAAAATACGTTCAGGATTTTTTGATCACAGATTTTGTCTTGCAGATAGAATTGCACACATAATTGAAAAATCAGTTCACAAAAATTCCATGCACGCAATTCCAGTAAGATCTTTACATTAAATAAGAAGAAGCTGTGAATAACTGAATTTGGCTTTTTTCTTAGGAAGGAAGTAGCCAGAGCCAGATCAGATCTCTTCGTGATGAACTGGAAAAATGTCAGAGTGAAATTTCTGAACTCAAGAAAGAGAATTTACTTTTGAAGGACACAATGGAGCTACTCAGTGCTGAGTTGGAGTCACAGAAGCAAGAAGCTGCACAGCTTCAGGATAGGGAGAAACAGCACAGAAGGTTTGCCTTAAATTCACACTTCACAGTGCTATCTAGAGAACCAATAATAATACCAGCATCCGAGGTGTTCTAAATGTGATGAGTGTCAGAATCTCTCTAAAGTGCTAATTGTAGAAGTTACGAGTGTTCTAATAGCAGTGGTTCATTTCACATTTCTCTCCAGCCATAACAAAAGCATTTGAACTAATTGTTCATTATATGTCACAGAGAAATATGTCCAGTGTAGCCCCATAGGAGTGACCTGAGAAAATCTGCATACCATCTGCCTTTGAAAGGCACTGGAAGACATAAACAAATCCTAAACTCACCCAAGAGCTATTAAAAAAAAAAAAAAAAAGTAGAAGTCTCTGAGAATAAATACCAGGTTTTTATACATGCACTCTGTAGGTGAAACCAATGGGTGGTTAACTCAAAAGGAGACACTTGAGAAGGCTGTATGTGCTCTGTGAGACTTTGCTTTGGCTGTAACAGCCAACTTTGCACTAGGGGAGTAAGAGCAGTGATAGTGGACACTGACAGTGCCTCTGGGCTGATGGAAGCCTGGAGCTGTAATATGCTGTCAGGGGACAGGAAGGCCAAGCTGACTTGTAGTCTTGGGTGTCTTGTAAAAGGTGGACTGCATCCTCTTAGCGTAGCCACAGGCCCGGAGCTCTTGTTGCATTCCAGTAATAGCAGTCTTCCTGTTTGCCTACAGAAAAAGTGCAGGACTTACCTTTTACAAGGGGGACAAGACTGGTGTTAACTGTCCAGTGCATCTGTATGGCCGTTGAATCCTTTGAAATTTCTGGATGATCATACTTAATACTTTCTCTTTGCAGAGAGACTGAGGGATCTGGTGCATGGGTACCTTTCAATTCATTTCTGCAATGATGTAGAATGTATGCCCCTAACTACTCGAGCTGTATATATAAAGGATTTCTGAAGAGTATACCCTTAAAGGAATCTTTAAAATTATGTCCTATATAGTCTAGAAAAAAAACACTCAAGGGATACAGTTTCTCTCAGCAGACTGTCAGAGTGGCCAGAGTAATTCCATTGCTGTCTACCAGTCAGTAGATATTTAAAGAATGAGAAAGAAACTTTCTTTTTTTTCTTTTCCTTTGCACTCTTTGGAGAGTTACTTGAAAGTGACTTTCATTTCAAGCTTTTGAAGCAAGATCAACAGAAAGAATTGCAAACCAGAGAGTTTCATCGGTGCCCTCCAGCTACCTTGAAGGAATTTAGAGCCTCTGTTCATGAAGAGACAAATTATTCACATGTCAGTGATGAGGTCTAAAAGGCCTCAAATACTAAAGCTGCTGGGCTGGAGGATAATCTTTACAGGGGATAGATGATGTAGCTCTACTACAGTATACATTTGAGAAGGAAGCATTAATGGAAATTATGTAAGGAGAAATCCTTCAAATAACAGGAGGTAGAACCAAAAAGCTCAAATGGGCCTAGGCACCTGGTACAGGCTGCTCTGAAATTAACCCGTGGAAGATCTGGAACATTAACTTGCAGCTCTTGTTTTGCTTTTGCAGGACCAGTAATTTGGGTAGGAGAATAGTTAAATTGGTGAGTGCATACAAATAACAGCTTTTTTTACTGTTACTTTAACAACAGTGAACTTGTCTTATGCTATATAGTTGTTTCTGATTTGAAAGATGATAGTGGCTTGTTATTTGCATGTGCCAGTTTTTTATAACCAATTGTTTAAAATTTCTACTGTTGCCAAGTAAGTGAAACCAGCAATCTGCTTGAAGTAGTCATTCCCGTTTCCGTTCTCTTGAATTGTGTGAATTCCACCTCCAGTACAGAAACCTTTTGCAATGAGTAGGATGAGAGCAGACAATGGTGTTTTTATGGGAAGAGAACACAAGTCCCAAAATGGCTATTCTGAAGCAAAGCTTTTATTCTGCCCCTGAAGATCCATTCCAGGGATTCTGCTCCCATTTTTACTCTTATTCTTCTGCTTCTTATTTTGTGCCAAGTGCCAAATCAATCACTCCCATGGCTGCGCTCTAATTTCAAGGGCAGAACCCTTTTGTGGGCCTTTTGGCCTTCCCTGAAGCATTTCAGAAACAAGTGAAAGGGGCTTAGAAATACATTAAAAAGAAAAAGGTAAACGGAATATGTTTTCTGAAAATTATAATTGTTAATCTGCTGAGTTTGATCTCTCTATTTTTAGACAACAGAACATGGGCTCTGCATTGAGTTAATGAAAAAGTTTCTCAAAGGTTTAACAAAACGTTAGCAAACAAAAGGTAACAAGATAACAGTGATTCTTCAGTAGATGTCTGTTGATTTTGGGGTTGGTATCAGAAAGCAATGTTATGGCCAGGCTTGAAAAAATGTTAGGCAATTTTTAGTTTTCAGTTGATGGTGTTAATCAAATAGCAGTATCTTTCAAATATATTATCTATTAAATAAAATATTGTAGTTAAAGGCATTGTTATAACAGTTCTTACCTTCACTTTTAAAAAAAATATATTTTTAGAATGGTGGTAGGCAGTACTAAATGTTTCTGGTGCCATGATGTGATGAAATGTAGCATGACAACCTGATGTCAAAATCCCAGAAATTTCAAAATCATTTTGTTTAATACACGTGAGTTCCTATGGTTCTTTATTGTCATGTTTGACCATCAAGATTGCTGTACAAACTAACCATAGACAGAATATTAACAGCATCATTATATAGAATAGACCCTCCATTTCCCGAAGGCTGAAGGTCAAGTACATCTTCAAATAATTTTCATCTTCCTCAGTGTTAGTGTGGTTCTGCTTCAGATTGCAACCGAAGCGTCAAAGTCAAGTCAGTAAGCAGAAGCCCAGAACTGTGCCCAGTTAATTACCTTTGTAGTCAGTGAAAGACCTCAAAACTGCATGCTTTGGTCAGTGACAATAAACAAGTATTGAAATGTGAGCAATCAGACATATTTTAATACCAATGGAAGGCTACTGGTAGAAGACCTCAATATCAAGCTAAAAAAAGCACTGGACATACTGAAACAAGATCACTGAAAGGAAGGTGAAAACACATTATCTGATTTCGGCAGCACTCAGGCACTTCTCTAAGCAAAGATTTTCTCCTTAGAAACTAAGTCATTGAAATGAACTCTGGCTCATTCTGGCAATGAGTTCTGTTTGAAATTATTATTCTTCATATATATATATATATTTTTATTACTCATAGGTAGAATATTCTAAGCACTGAAATAGAAGTGTATAGGTATTTCCTTTGCAAACACGAAGACCCAGATAAATTGTAATAAACTCTGAATATTGTTTAATGTAAAGCACTATACATAAAGTTTTACAATGCTAAATTAAAACCTGCACTTAGCATCTTGCAATTTTATGAAGTGTAAAATCATCTTTGTCAGAGGTGATACCAGAGGCCTTGATCCATGATCTCGTACTTCATTTTGTTCAGCAGAGCAGCATCTTTGAGGTTAAGCTGTTGCTCATTCTCACTCCCTTACAAATTTCCCAGAACAGCCCCTGCTAACTCATGTAAATAAATGCACTTTGCAGCTCCTTGTGGAGTTAAGTAGTTCTGTAGTGCTTCAGACTGTACAGGAGAGGCCCCTCAGAAGTAATCCTTGTGATTCCATATATCCCTTGTCCTTTTCTCTTGTCCCAACTGTGCAGCCTAGGTCCAGAAGAGAGACCGACTTGCATGCAAGCAGGTCTCAAACCATTCAGATGTTATCTTTTCATCAAAACTCTGAGATACACTAAAGTAAGAGTATAAGATGGGGGAGAGGGGGGTGTCCTCTCAAAAATGTTTACCCTAACAAAAAAAACCCCACAAAATGGTGGTTTGTATTCTGTAATACATTTCTCAGTATGGCAGGTGAACTTCTTAGCACTCAGTTTCTCAAGCAGCAAAATTAATGAACTTGGCTGACGAATGTCTTCTCATGGGTCAATCAAATGTATGTTTCCACACCATCTCTAAGAGGGTCTAAGTTTTTATTTGAATCTTTTCCCCTGATAAAGGTATTTAAAGAGCTGAATTCACGCTACAGGTTTTGACTGAGAGGGTTCACTAAAGCAGGATGTATATCCAAGCCTTTCTTTTCATGCAGCTTATAGCAATTGGGTATTTCTGAGGCCTCTATCAAATATGGTTGGAATTAGCCTGTGGATTCTAAAGTTATTGGGTCAGAAAAGAGAACAAATAGATGAATACAGACATGCATAGATACTGCGACACAGATTTTTTTTCTTTAGGAAACTAGACGAGCAATGTGATGTGCAAGCTTGTTAGTATTTTATACCACGTGCTTGATTTTACACTGGACAGGTGTTGTAAGTTAACCATGGTGTCAATTTATTTTGGAACTCCACAACATTCTGTACTTACATGTAATCCATATACAGATGCCTTTTTAAAAAATGGTGGTTTATGAGAAAGACCTGACTACCTCCCTGTATTTTAAGCTCGAAATTTAGGGCAGAGTGCAGCCCAAGTACTTCTTGAACCTGGTCTGAAGAAGTTTTTTCCGGTCTGCGTTTTTTTGATACAGACTTAAAGAATTAGAAGAAAAGTCAAGAAAGTGGGAGCCCACATCAGAAGATACACACCTTATCAGCAGTCTGCAAGACCAATTAAGTGAGAGAGAAGAGATTATCAAGCAGCTGGTGGTAAGATTTCCTTTTTTACAGACATACGTATTTTGGAACCTGTTGGAAGGCTCTATTCAGTGTTTCACACATTGCTTCAGACTGGTACTTTCTTTCTGTTCCGGAATACTTTGACAAATATATGTTTCAATACCAACTTCCAACAAATAGATGTCTCCATACACATAACTTTTCTTTCCTCTCAGGAAGGAAGAAAATTTCAGCATTCACTTTTAGCCAACACTGAATCTTACAGGAATCGATCATTTTCTTTCAACCCAAATACAGGATGCTTGACTTCTTCCATGAAGGTAAGATGGGCAATGCAATTAAAATACTAAGTCACGAAGTTTTACTTGTGTTTGAATCATACAGATGATCAGGACAGTAAAGGTCTTATTAATTTTTTATGGTAATGTTATTCAGTAGAATTCTTTCCAGTAAGCAAACCTTCAGTCTGAGTATAACACAAATTCAGTAGAAGTATATATGCACATAGATACAGGTGTTTAAGCAAATATAAAACACTAGAACTCCAAAGATGTCCATCTGCCACTGGGATAAGCACAGCCGTTGCTTGCAGATTTGGGAGCTGCTATTTGGGATATTGCATGCATCAAGGAAATTTATGAATTGGGTTTGGGCTGCTTAGGATTTGCCCTTTGGCATTCCCCCCACCTCTGTATGATACTGTCTGTAAATATTCATGGAAGGAAGGGAGGTCAAGTTGGTGGAAAGCACCTAAATGAGCTCTGCAAAACTATCAGCTTTGATATATCTAAAACCTCAAGGTCAAACACACAAGTTGCTTTAATTGGACTACCAAATCCGTGGATCCTCAAAACATACCCTGAGAATTTTATGCCTATAGAAAAAGATGAGAATCTCCTCACAAGATATCTATGCATGAGGTATTGTTGAGGTTTTATAGTATAAAGTGTAAAAAAATCTGTATGTAATGAAGTTTTCTGTTACAATAAAAAGCAGCAGAAGAAAACGGTTGAGGTGCCCAGTCGTGTTGTCAGTGTTCCGAATTTAGCTTCCTACGCAAAGAACTTTTTGAGCTGTGACTTGAGATCAAAAAGAAGCGCTCCTCAAATAACAAAATCTACGAGCTTAGACCGGAGTCCTGGCTGCCTCAGGGTGGGCTCTCCATCAACACAGTCCTCAGACAGCAGTGCTGCCACAAGGTATTTGTCTGTTTTGTAGTGACTTGTAAGATGATAAATGAATTAGTATTCAGAATCTTGTAGACAATTCAAACACATTAGACATTTGGAAATAAACAATGACGTAAGGTTCCTGTTGTGCAGTGAACTCCATGTGTTCAGTTCTCTGCAGATAGACCCAGAACTTTACTGTAGAAGTAGGCTATAATCACTGCCCAGCGGAGCTTACGATTTCACTAAGAACGTAGTTAATAGCAAATATGGCTGTTTAAAACTTTGGGCACGTATCAGTAGTTTTGTTAAGGATGTGTTTTCCTTCTTACTTTTGTTTCCTCACTTTGCACTTGGTAGATGTAGATGGCATATTTTTATTTTAGGAGATATTTGAAGCAGATACTTAACTAAAAACTTCTTAGTTTGATGTTTTTTCCTCTGAAAAGCTTGAATTTTTCTTCAAATTTATGAGTTATTATTTAAACAACGTTTAGCGTTTTATAAATATGATTGAACTATCTCTTCAAGAAATAGTTAAAAATTTATCTAGTTAACATTATAGTTATAATGACAAATATTTAAAAAAAACAACCCTACCACTATACTTCAGGACAAAAGCCAGCCTTCTCACCTATCTCCTAGTGGAGATTAGTTGTCCCATAAATTGTGTGCTAGAGAGTTCTTTCCTTGAAGGCAGATGGTGCTGACTGCTGCCAAAGACGATAGCCTGGGAAATGGGCTTGGATCCAGTTTGGCAATTCCTACATCTTAAAGATAACAGCATTCTGTGTCATGCCAGATGACTGCCAAGGCAAATCAGATTTATATTTTAAAGGGAATGTACAGGAAGACTAACGGTAGCGTGGCTGCTACTTACTACTTCTTAAATCAATCACAAGTGAAGCCATATTTGCTACTATAAGCTAACTGAAATTAATGCAAATGTTAAAAAAGCACCCTGAATGCTGAAAAATCAGGGACTATGTAATAGGATTGGTTATAAAAGCCAGTTAATGTTCAGATAAATCTTTCAGTTCTATATAAAACTTTTACCCAACATTTTTAATGCATAAATTTTATTTCATAGTTTTAAGAGTTAATTGCAGCTGCCACTTTCTGATTTTCAAGACTTCATATTCTGGAAGCATCTTTTTTTTTTATTTTTTGAGATGTCAAGTCAACAATTATGTTGAAACATTCCTCCATAGCTGTTTAGTAATCCTTCACGCTTTCCTTTGGGTTACTACCAGTGCTGTTAGCCCAGTTACCTGGCTGGCACAGATCCCACTAGAAATTGTAGCTGGCACCTTTTGGCCTCATCCAGTTCATGTGAGCACAGATCCATTCATAGGATCATGAGTTTTTCCATGAGTTTTTAAAAAGTATTAAATATTGGTAAGTGATGCTAATGCTTATTTGTTTGCACAGGACACATGGCAATGAACCACCACAAACCAAAGACGACCAAAACCAAGATCCTCAGCACCAAGAATGGTTTACTAAGTATTTTTCATTTTAAAGCAAACAATTTCCATACTACTCAGAATTATTAGAAAAGCTGTTCCAGTTTTCTTTTAGGGAACAATAATCCAATATATGATTTATGAAAAAAAAAAAAAAAGATGTAATTTCCAAGTAAATAATTAGGAACAACTGTACTCTCTTACATCTAATTACTATGGCTTTATAGGCATGGATTTCAGGAAAATGCTTTTTTTTTTAACAAACTGTAAAAAATTAAGAAAAAGCAAAATTCTGGATACTGTTATGTGAAGAGACTTTTTAATCCAGAGACTGTACCATTCCACAATTACATTAAATATGCAATTTGTTCTCTAATATGTCCTGTCAATTAGGCTCCAGCTGAAAAAAAGATCTTACTTCTGTAGGTTTATATATTTGCTTCACCAGCTGTTTAAAATAATTCCTGCATATAGTAATGTAATTTTTAAAGTTTTTAATAGGTTTTTGTTAAACTTATTTTAAGCTGTACAGCATGTGGTATACCGCCAAGAATAGCATGTTTATAGCAGGCTGGTTTATAAACTTTCTGATTTGCTTAATAAACTGTTTTGTATAGTCAGCATTGCAATACAATATTCCTGTAACAATCAGCCTGATAAACTAGGGTAATATGTAAGTATTAGCATTAAAACTTGCTTGTAAATCATCCATCTCTATGTTTTGCAAAATAGCGCGTTATGCTGAAGTGTGAGTCAGATACACTGAGTTCCAGATTTATGAGAACTGCATATTTGTACATTTTATCTCAATATTGTTCTTATGCCCACCAAAATGCAATGTGGGTGCATGACTGCATTTATCAGGTCATGCTAGCTAACTCATGACTGGGAGGAAAGACACCCATGAGGAAATTAACCCTCAGGTGATTCATCAACAAATGTGAAAGGCTGTGAATTGTGCAACCAGCAGCCTAGTGTTTTAAGATAGGATAGTTCAACTGCTGTACAATTTGAATCCCCATTTAATTTCAACCAGCAGGGCTCAGCTATGTAACAAATTTCACGTGTGCAGAGGCATACCTTCCGCCTAACCTCTTCTTGTATCAAACAGCCCACAAGAACTGTACCAACAGCTGCAAGCACTTAGTACGCAACAGCCACCGCACCTCACCAGCGGTGAAAAGGTGGCATAAGGGGCAGAATGCTTCTACAGGCCAATACTTTCATCCTGGCTGTTTAGTCTTTTTTCCAAGACGAACTGCTTGATTTGGAAGGAGACTTTAGCATCGGATTTACGGATTTGGCAAAAAGACACTTTTTATACGTGCAGTCAAGAAGGGGATAAAATGGTGTACACTAAGTAACACTGAGAAGTGCCTTACTATCTGTGAGAAGATCAGAAATATTAAGACTGAGGTTTTCATCCACTCTGCCCCAAAAACTTTTAAAGCACAGTAGGAAGTTCAGTACACAATTACTAATTCTAATTTCCAGGGTTACAATATTCTAATTAATTCTGTCACCAAAATGGTGTCCCTAGAAAGTGGCTTTCCCAGCTATATGGATGAATTAAGCTTGTGGCCGAGTAATACAGAGACAGAATTCCTTTGCTATTTCTACCTCCGAACTCTTTTTTTGGCTACATTTAAATTACTAAATAGTGCACCCCAGCAGAAGCTAATTCTGTAGGCTGGACAGTGCTCATGACTCACCATCCACAATGAGTGCTCTTTATTTTGGGGGTAGGTATTTTGGACCATTTCTACACTAGCCTGACAGACAGAACACCATTAACACTGGGCCTGCATTACATACCCCCCCAGGGGTATGCATTTTGCAGTTTCATTTCATCCTCTAAGAATCAAATTTGTATATCCTGAGACCCCTTCATGAGATGAGCAGAAGTCCTCCGGAGAAGAACAATTCATTTCAAAAAAAAGTACACTCTTGATCTGACCTAGATAGAGACAATTCTAAGGGTGCTTCTACACTGATACTTATGGATAATTACTGCATCACAAAACATTTAAATCTTCCAGTAAAACCAAACAGTAATCTTTGCAAGTATTTTCATCATACCAGCAAAGATACAGTTAGGGGAAAGCTAGGACCACCTCTTCTATAAGAAACAGGATGCATTCTGGAAAATACAGTTCTACCAGAAAGCATCCTGAATAGCAACTCTGTATATTTTCCATTGAAATATAAAACCAATCCACATTTTTGCAACAACAACAACAAAAAAGTAAGTACTTGTCTTAACTATTTATATTTGTGGTACAAATTACATTATACAAAAAGCATACAAAGTAAAAAGAACACCGCTTCTTTGCATTGTTGAAAATAGATATGTAAAATCAGAGATCACGTTTGCTTCATTGGAGCAGGAATATTAGCAGATGCTTGTTCTAGGTAAGCTAATGGACCTTGAGGCATTTCTGCAGGCTTTTTGTGCTGTACACTGATATCTTCCAGGACCTGTTGCCAGTGTCGCAGTTTACCCAAATGCTTCTGAATTAGCGCTTCTTTTCTCTGCAATTCATTTCTTAATTCTGAAACATCCTATGGATGAAAAAATGTGTATTAGTAAATAGACAGTATTCACAAGAATAACCACCTCACATAAAAAGCATGTAATTTTTTTAGCATGAGTTCTTCAAGCTGGTCTTTACAGGGATTCTAATAATGGAAAAGCATCCAATGAAACAGAGGGAAAGCACTGTGAATGCATTAGGTCCATTCCCCTAGGTCACCTATTTCAGAGATCATTATTATGTCCAGCAAAATTTGACTGACTAGTTTGTTTCTTCCAATGAAACTATCAATCAACTGTGTTCCAATACTCCACAGAGCAGCAGGCATCCGGCTTCTACAGGTTCACGGCAAGAGCAATGGGTCAACTGCTAAGTTCTGCCAACTTAAGATAGAGCACCATGTTCAGAAACCCAAAATGAATGTGAACGAGGCGATTAACAGGTGCTGGTGCACAGCTTATCCAATACAGAACAACACAGGTCTCCTGGTTTCCAAGACAACAGGTAAATTAATTTGAACATACCTCTTTAATTACTTGCTCTGGTTTCTGGACTGATAGCTGCAGTCGTTTTTGTAGAAAAAAGCATTCAGTTTGTCTTGCAACATCCAGAAACTTCTGGATGCACTGATCAACACCTAAACATAAAATAACAACGCAGAAAGAACAGATTCCAAAAAACAAATTACTGGGCTGATACTGATAGTTATCTGTATCCTATTAAAACCACTTTTCACAGTACTTTCTAGAAAGAAAATCTTCAGATTTAGTAAAATGACTTATTTATAAAACCAGGATTTGCATTAAGTCTCTATAAAACGTTGCTTTGCAAACTTTCAAAACTTCCTTTAAAGGTGCAAAACAGCAACTCTTTTCCCCAGTTTTATTATATTTTTAACAATGACTAAGAGTGATAAAGTAATTTGTGGAACTTCGCTGTTCACTGCACTCCCAAGCAACAAGCTCAATAGAAGATTCTAAAATACGGGGATATTTAGGAAAATATTCTGCCTTTGTGTTTTATACACTACTGTTTTAATAACAAAAGCTGTCCCATTCCAGCGTATGAATATGGCCTGATATCCAGAAAGAAGTTTTCAAAAGCATTTATGCTCTTTTCAAAACAACGCTTGAAAGTCAGGCTTCAGAAAATTTTGGGGGAAAAGCAGACCTCTTAACAGTTGTCAAGGGCCATTTTTTACCTTCCTGTTTATATCGATTCAATATTAATTACACCTCCCACAGAGGTGCCTGGCACACAACTCTTAAATCCCTGCTACTAAGCACTCCAGGCTTCCCTTTCCCACCTTTTATTACTGCTCCGTATCGCTTCGTAAGTCCATCTCCTTAGCGTCCTCCTTTGTGCGCGGCGTCTGCCTGCACGTTAATGCAATGCCACACAGCCCCCGGCGCCCGCCGGCACTCGGGCCCTTCGCGGGACCCCGATCATTCCCGGGGGGTTCTTTCCGTGTCCACTCTCCCACGCAAACCTCTTTCGGCCCCTAACGAGGAGGCACACACCGCCCCAGCGAAGCCCAAACGCGCCGCCAGAACTTCTCAAGAAGTTTCGGGGGACGTTCGTCACAGACTGGCAACCCTCGCCGTCCCCTCAGCCCTGCAGAACAAGGCCCGGGCGCACCCTGGGCTTGTGTCAGGCCGGGCCGGTCTACCCTCCCCACCTCCCCGGGGCCTCACCGGTGCGGAT